GTAGTATTTAACACTGAATACGAAAAGTTACTGTTTTTCAAAAAAATTACATAATCTATTACATCCTTTTCAGATGGTCGAAAGGAATTGGTTTTCCTTTGAACACACCAAATAACGAATTTTCTCCAAGAATATTGGTATTGCTTGATTGTAGAAGGTCTCCAAGATGCAATGATGATATCTGCAGATGATTCTTAAATCCTTCATCAATAAGCGATTTCCGGATACAATACACATGGTTAAATGTAGTCTCTTCCTTAATAGATGGCATCTCCTGTATGTGGCATCATAACTAAATCTTTGTGTTGAGGCAGTCTAATTGGCAGAGAAATTAACATTGGTATTAGCAAAGAAACCAACTTCGTGCAGGCCAAAAAGGAATCATCAAAATAGCCTTCTCAACTTTGTCACTTATAATTTTCATTAAAATGTTCCCCAACAAAGTAAAAGGTGGGAAAATATATGGTCTACAATAAGACCATGAAAAAGTAAAAGCATCAACAAAAGTAGGTTGTGGGTCAAAAGACCACAAAGCAAATCTAGGGATTCAAACGTGAAGCAAACAAAGAAATGTTTGGAACAAAGAAATGTTGACAAATTCTATCAAATATGTCTACTTTAATTGCCACTCTGTGGAGTCTGTAAAATTTCTAGACATATGATCAGCATCAAAATTTTCTGTTCCAGGAATATACTTAGCTGTGATAAAAATATCCCTTTTTGAACACCAAGCACAAATCTCTGCAGCTAGCCCGTCAAGTGACAATGAGGTCATGCCTCCCATTTCATTAATATAAGCTACTGCAGTTGTTTGATCGTTTACCAATATAGCATGAGTTTTTGTTACTAAAAAAATGCTTTTAAAGAGAAAAATATAGCCAACAATTCTAAGTAATTTATACGAAACGAGCGTTCTGACAAGCTCCATCTATCACCAGCAAATTGTCCTTTACATTTGGATCCCGAACCTTCAAATGTTCAAGCCAAAAATTTATTTGTATGGGTCTTATCAGTTTTCCATTTACAGATTCTAAATTGGTAACCCACCAAATAATCTCAATTTTTGACTCTTGTGTGATAATAATTTCAGAGTCAAAATCACCATAACAACTATTCAGTGCTTCAACTTTATTTCTCTCCATGTTTATGTAATGTAATGGTCCCACAGATACTGCATTAAAGCATGTACAACAAGACCAGTACTTGATGCAAAGTATCTTACAGTAACACACTTCTGTAGAAGAATAATTTTCCCAAGGGAGATAATTTTGTCTATTTTCTCATCTGTCAAAAAAATCTTAAATAACTCAGTATCAATAATGAGACCAAAGAAAACAATGCGTTTTGAAGGAATAAGGACAGACTTATATCTTATTCTGAAACCAAGTTCATCAAGCTTCTGCACCATTTTTTTCTGTATTTACAATACAACTTTCTAAAATCTGATCCATAATAAGAGAATCATCGATGTAATAAATACATCTAATGCCATTTTTTCGAAAAAAATACACAGACATGTTTTAAAACCTTAGTAAAAACTCTTGCTGCAGAAGTAAATCCAAAACAAAGAACCTGAAATTCATATCAATGTCCTTTCCACATGAAACGCAAATATTTCTTCAAATCATTATTGATACTAGCACTAAAATAATCATCTGTGAGATCTATGGATGTTAGATAATCATCCTTTTGAATTACATATAAAACAAATGATAAATGTTCTTGCTTAAAATGATGATAAGCCACAAAATTTTTTTATTTTTTTTTTAAATTGATAACAGGCCTTGAAGACCCATCTTTCTTAAAAACTAAGAAAATATTGGAAATAAACTGGTTCTCCAATGAATCAGCTTCTTTAATAGCTCCCTTAGATGATAATTGTTGGACTTCTTCTGAAAATATTTCAACATAATGTAAAGGGAAATGGATTTTATTCATAAAAGATGAACCTTGTGGCACAACATCAAATTCATTTTTATAGCCATTTCTTACTGTATCTAATATCCATAGTTAACTTGATATATTTTCCCATTCGGGATAGTTAAGTTCTCTCACCTTAACTATTGTCGAAAATAGTTGTTCTGGTAGAACCCTCTCTGAGAGTTGTGACCTCTTTGAGATCCTCTGTTTCCTGTCGGAAAACCTCTCCCTCTGCCTCTTAGGGAGGGGAGTTGCCGTCCGCCCTGTCGACAGACAGGGCCTTTGGAGTTTAAAGATAGATATTTGTCTCTACTATAGCTGCTTGGAGCGCTATTATTGTTAGACTTGGATCCTCTACCAAGGAATCTAGGATTAGATATTGAAATATTGGTGTAGTCACCAAGTTCCTTCATCTGATTCATGCAATCAGCACCAAAAAGTAATGAATCCACCGGAACATCAGAATTGCAAATTGGTTTGAACTTATCATTATGATACGGCCTAAGAGCTGAACGTCTCCTCTGAGTCAGAGAAAGAAAACCATGGCCTAACAAAAAATAGAACCTGACAATAGCTTTCTAGTATTATCAACATCTAATGGTTCATTCTTACAACAATGATTACCCAACTGAACAATGGGGGTCAACCCCTTAACAAAATATCTCTGGGTTTCCTACATTTTAGAATCCACAGTGTGGGCCTGTCTAGGCAGTGCAGTCCAAATCTCCTTATTCACTCTAGGAACACAAAGGTTCTCACAATTTTCAGGCCGTAAGTATCTCTCCTCTCTCAACTTTATACTATCCTGATTTGATTTTACAGACATTGTAGCATTTACAGCCTTAGAAAGACTAGAAGATATTTTAGGCCCAGTCTTCTCTTCGGTATTTAATTATGGGATTTCCCAAGCAAAATCATAATCATATTGTTCAACGTGTTCAACAACAGGTTGAGATAATGGTACATTAATCTCACTAAGAGGAGCCCTAAGGGCATCTGAAAACCCTACTGCAGGGTCTAAAGAAGATTCAAAATCAACTGGGGCTGGACTATTATCAGCCCTAGCACAAACTCCAGAAGGAGGTTCATATACAACATCATCCAAGTAGTCCAGATCAAAATCTTGAACTGCATATCTGCATTAAAGTTAGCCTCTAAAGGAAAATTTGGAGGGTTAGAGGATACAGCAGCAGGGTTCTCTACAATCTCTGCTTGAATGGAAGACCGAGAAACTGTCTCACACCTAAGGGTCCTTACAGGCTCTTTCCCACATTTATTTATAAATTCTCTAAAAAGACGAGTCAAAGTGTCAATAGACTTGCCCATAGTAGATATGTCCATCTTATCCCCCAACACTGATAACTCCTGTGGAGAAAAATCATCAACTCTAGGAGATTTAGTAGCTTTACTAGTAGCACTAGTAGACTTAGCCTTCCTTTTGACTGGTTTAGGTGCTTTCTCACTTGTAATGGCGGTGCCTTTTATAATTTCACTAGGCTTTTTAGAGGGTTTATTCAAACTACCTCTAGTTTTCTTATTTAATTCATCATTCTTAATTTCATCAGCATCATGTAGATTCTGACAATTATAGCCATCGGCTTCATTAGTTTCAATATCATTTTCGACATCTCGCAAAAGCAATACATCTTCATTTTCAAAGTCAGCCATTGTAATTTAATAATGTGTACCTGTGCAATAAAACACGTGCTAATTCTGAAGAATACAAACGATCTTCAGTTAAGAAGAAAAACACCTGTATTTATCTACCTGTTAAACAAACAGGAGTAAAGTAACAAATTTGCTGTACAGCGTAGGCAAAAACTTTAATGAATAAACTTGTCATACATCCTAGACAATATTTTTTTATTTTATTTTCATCAACACTTGTCGTACATCGTAGACACGAAATTCTGTATTTCTAATTAACATCAACACTTGTCGTACATCGTAAACAAAAACATTTTATTTCTAAGTAACACCAATACTTGTCGTACATCGTAGACAAGATAAATGTAATTTAAGTAACTTTCCAACTTAATAATATAAAGATAACAATAAATTAACTATACAAGAATATCAGTGAAGTGCTGTTCACTTCACACTCTCTAGAAAATAATGACGAGTTGTTATGGAATAGGTGTTTATATATTAGGGTCAAGGTCAATGGCCATCTATTCTCTGGTGGCTATAGTTTGTTTCTTTAAACATAGTTATTACATGTTAACTTCACCCCTCACAGAGAAGTAAAACTAATTCATTACTCGAGACCGAAAGGCGAAATATGAATAAGAATTCGGCAATACTTTAATGTATGAAGTGAACTCGTAATACCATAATTTGGTGGGATCAATTCTTAAAACTTTTACTTGTTCGACCTAAACATTGAAGTATTATGCATTGATGTTTCAACACTCTTAGTTACTTTTGCAAATTTATTTTGGGCTATTGCCTTTGATCACCTTTATAGAATGCCAATAATGTTTAGGGAAGATAATTATAGACACGGTATTTCACACTCAATAAATACATTTTTACCGGGGTTGTTCATAATGACAACATAATAATTATATCTCATCTCATAAATAAGGGAACTCAAGCTTTCATGTAAAAAAATGAACAAGTTTTCTCGACGAAATGCACTATTCTAGATATCTATGATATGAAAATCAAATACAAAAGATCAATAATATAAAAATACAAAAAAACAGGGACGATTCAAAAAAAATTGCTGAACTGTTCAAAAGGTTGGCAGAGTTAGCTTACTTTTGATGTTTAAAATGAAATAATCCTGCTAATGTGTTGTTCGCTCCTGCGCACACATCATAGTTTTTAGATAGTTACAAATTACCAAAATTAATTGCTACAAACAACAGGAAAACAAGTCCAAAATGTTAAACCTCTTGTTTTCTCAAAAACCAGCACAGTCATCTATTTGTCGATTTGTAATATTTCAAAGAGCTTATCACGAACTTCATTATATGTCATCATCACAAAACGACATTTCAATGTGAAACTGTATCGATTCATCCCAAATTAATAAATAAAGTACGACTTAAAAGGGTTAATTCTGATCTACTGACCTGAAGATTCAACGAGAATGCATGTATGAAATATCTCCACTTAAAGTAGTTATTCGATGTATGAAATGATTTACCTTGACAACAAGTACTGATTTGCAATACCAATTGGGATGAGTATATATGAATTATCACTTAATCTCGTAAGTCCGTTTCAAGCCGTTTATTACGAACAGGGTTATTTCCTTATTGTCTGTGGTCATTAGAATTGAACCACAAACTTTAGATAGATATACTATTGACAAAGTCATGCAAGTTATAATCGGGAAGCATGCATTCGCATAGATAACAATTAATTAAGTATTTTCAAATATCAAATCTTAATTAGTTTTTAAATGAAGGAAATGTATTTGTACAGAAGCGATTTTGAACTGATGATATCCATTATCTAAAATCGTTTTGTAAACATATTAGAATGCTCACAAGGCAATATTTGTACGCGGTAATTTAAAACCTATATGAAATATTTAAGTATAATACAATTTGTTCATTAGATATATGGACTGACATACATTGTTGTCAGTTCTAGTTAAACGAATTAACTTGCTGATCTTCTGGTTATTGACAAATATCTTTAATATATCACTAACATTGTAAACATCAAGAGCAAGTAATCAAAACGAAGTTGGTGGAAAGTTTATGATGTTTTTCTTTCTATCTATAAATGGCATTGCTATACACATAAATATTATATTTTGGTTTCTTCAGCTATCACGTCAAACAAAGATATAGACAATGCACGTATTTTATTGTGTTACAGAATTAACATTCACGTATTACATAGTTAGAAAATAAGTCAAGTACGGTATATGTGTAATACAATCAATTGATGTCATGATGTAGTACCCGTGAGGTATGATAGTTACATTATTCAACTATGTATAAAAAAGTGTTAAGCAGGTTATTGTTGATTAGAAAATAAAAGTTTCTACATGTTAAAGCAAATCCAAATTTGCAGTATAAATGTGCAAAACGTGAAAATACCACATCCGTTTCAAAACAAATAAAAAACAAAATAATAGTTTTGTTAATTGTAATGGCATGCTCAGTTGTTGGTGTCTCATTCGTAACCCTTTGCTAGTTTTACTGTCGCGATTGTGATCTGGTTAATGGTAGTGAAAACTCGGTATTACTGGGTTAAACGAATATCAACAAGCACGTCGTCTTCATTAGGACTTGATGAACTAACAACGGATGGTTTCTAAAATGCGCGGATTCGAGTTTTTGAACTTCTTTTAGAAATCTGTCCTTTTTTGACTGTTTATAGTCTGTTCGTCGCATTTTTGTTCGGTTGTAATTACTTTGATTGCCTCCTTTGTATAAATATGCTCTCCCTATTAATGCAAGGCGACCTTTTATAAAAATTGTTTTACCACAACCAAACTATGCATCTATAAATATATAAGTAGGATTGTGCATTGGTTGTTCAGATAAAGTAATTGAAGTAATTGGAAAATAAGAATTGTGCTGGTAATTGTGGGTCTCTGGATTGTCAATTGAAATGTAGAAAAAAGCAAAAAAACAGGATTTAACTTAATACGTTAAGTTTTTCAAAGTACATACATACATCACCTCACCCTTTCGAAAGAACCATGTTGAAATATGTACGGATTTGAACCAGTCGTTTATAGCAATTCGAGCAAAGGAAATAAAACATATAACTGTTTTTAATGATTAAAACCAAAATAAAATATAAGCCTTTATGATCATTGCTTGAATATAAAACCTATCATTTGTCGTACAGCTTATATTTCCATATACAATGACAACTGTCTCATCCGATCTCATTAACAACTCAATGAACGTAACTTTTTTCATAGCCAAGCTGCTTTTCTTTAGTTTGTCGTTATAATTCACACTATGGTATCACCTAACCGTAAACGAAGAAAACAGAACAGTTTTTAATGTATTGTTTGTAGGTATGTTTTGAAGATAATGATATGGTTCAAATCTCTTAAACAAAAAAAAAAACATTAGCAAAACATTTGCCTTCAACGATTTTGATTACGCTGAATTTACGCACTTTACAAAACAATAAACGTTTGTATATTGTTTTGAATTGCATAGTTTGTATTTTGTCTGTGCTGGTATATATGTGATTTTGTTTTGACAGTAAACACATAAAATGATTTCATTTACTTTTTCGATACTAGTAGATGGTTAACAAAAACATTGAAATATGTTTCAACCAACATGTCGAAGTGACAGGTAGATTTTAAACACATTTTTATCATTGTAAACCATGTTTGATTGTATTACAAAAAAGATGAAAGAAGTATAGTCCATGAAAAATATTACAACAAATGATGTCTTTACATAAAACACATGTGTCCAGTTATAGTAATAAGACATTTGACAACAGAGAGAGATACAACAAACTAGTGATGATATAGTATCGGTTTTTGTACGTTTATTGTATTATATACTACATTGTTAATATCAACAAATGATGATCGTTGCTGATTACACAATGATTTAAATAACCCCTTTATATATATATATATATGTTTTGTTAGATCTTTTATTTTTAGTTACGCAATATAATAGACTGCACGTCCGATTCAAAAATGGACTCTGTCTATCAATTTATAATTATATACACTTTTTAGAGCTAAAAAAATTTCAATGAATTCGGTATACTGCATTGCACATTGTAATACAATCAAACAAGGTTTACAATGCAAAAATGTGTTTAAAATCTACCTGTCACTTAGACATGTTGGATGAAACCATCTACTAGTATCGAAATATATAATGAAATCATTTTATGTGTTTACTGTCAACACCAAATCACATATACACCAGCACAGACAAAATACAAACTATACATTTCAAAACAATAATCAAACGTTTATTTTTGTTGTAAAATGCGTAAACTCAGCGTAATCAAAATCGCTGAAGGCACATGTTTTGTTAATGTTTGTTTGTTTAAGAGATTTGAACCATATTATTATCTTCAAAACATTCCTACAAAAAATTCATTAAAACACAAATGATTTTTTTGTCCATCGATGAAATCTAAATATCCTCGACAAAAGGAGGTCTCCTCTACATATATCTATTTTTGAAATGTATATTTGTGTATGTAGAAATAGACAATCTATGATTGTCTTTTCTATGATTTGTGCATGTGTCTATTAAGGTGGAAAACGAAAGTTAATTACAGCTTTAAGAATTTAGCTTTTTAAGGGATATCTAACATAAAAAAAAATAATCCATTGCCTTTTCTACCTTTCATCATAATGCTTACTCACCAAATAAATTTATTTTTGATTCGGTTTCAAGAATGGTTGGAACTACTGATCTTTCTGAATCACTTTAGTTTTCTCAAAGTTTTATTATTGCCCACTCTTTAGTTGTAGTTGTCTATGCAATTATTAATTATAGTCATGGATATTATTGGTTTCTTTTGGTTTTTTTTTTTTGTGAATTTCTGTTTCCCCCAATTGTTAATACATTTTAGTCTCAAAAAAGGGCAACAGTAGTATACCATGGTTCAATGGTTATAAATCAAGCGAAAACAAATCCGGGTTACAAACTTAAACCGAAGGAAACACATTAATTAAAAGAGGAAAAGATCGAAACAACAGAAACACTGAACTACAACAAACACAAACGCCTACATACACAGAAACGGACTATTTGATAACAGCTGCCATAATCCTGACTAGTTACAGGACATTTTAAGACAACATGGTGGATTGAACCTAATTTAATTGCGAGCCAAACTTTCCACTTATATGGAAATGTTAACAATACCGCTAAAATGACAACATTACGTGACAGGAATACAAATAAACACAAGAACACTCTGCACAGAGAAATACAAATTTATTAAATAAATAATTTAATAGTACACTGCAACTTGTAAACCACAGAATAACAACGGAAACCGCCCACGAATTTACGACACTACACTAAGACACCACACACGAGGTATTAACTGCGAGTCACATGAATGTATCATCGCCACAAACGGTTCTTTTGATTTAACATCATCTTACAAGTCTTAACAATCAATTAATAAGTCATGTTGAGACTTTTAGCCAATTTTAAGACTTATACACTGTTCCTAATCATGTTAATTTAGCACTATTGACACTAAAACTAAATTTTAGTCTAAAACGGTCAATTTCATCTTAACATCATCTAGAAAGTCTGAACAATAAATTATTAAGTCGTTTTCTGTCTTTTTGTCAATGTTCACACTGCGCCACTGTAGTCAATTCGGTCAATACAGAACTGTTCATTAGATTTTCATACAGCACGGTGTTGAAGTTTGGAAGTCAATAAAAACTTCTTTCTGATGAGTATGAACACAGTCTAAACAGATCGTAAATGGACTGTAAGTATTTTGCGTTAACTATACTGCATATACTGTAGAGGAGAAGTCTGAAATTATCTTAAAGACTGAAAATGACATATCAATATATTGTTCATTCTTATAAGATCTTATTAAGATGATTTCAACTTCCCAATTGTGAACTTTCCATTTCTATGTAGCAACATTCCAGCAGTGGCTGCATATGGAATTTTATATCTCCCAGTTGATACGATATTCCAGGGCTTGTATTTCCTATCATGATTTCTATGACAGAGGGTTGCTGCTCACAAGGAAGCTAGTAAACCAAGAGTTTTAAGTGGTGAAGTTGAAATCATCACCTTACAAATTTTACGGACGCCATCACGAACTGGTTGACCGTTATGGAATATCCGTTTCACAGATAACAGCGGATATATTGTAACTTTCATCCCGCTCCCCTTTTTTATTAAGTTGTATACTTGTGCGTCTGTACGTACTTACGTGCCAACATTTCTTTCCGTTCTCTAACTTTAGTTTGCCTCAAGCAAATGTTCTAAAACTTATACACAATGCTAATTACTACAAAACACAGATACATTTTGAATTTTGGTGGCGTCACTTTTAACGTTCTAGAGTTATGCCACTTTACAAATGGAAAAATTGCTGAATTTTTTGTTTCCGTTCACTAACTTTAGTTTGCCTCAACTAAATGTTTTGAAACTTATACACAATGCTTATTTGAACTAAACACAGATCAAGTTCAAATTTTAGTGGCGTCATTTTTACCGTTCTAGAGTTAT